TATCACTAAATATAACACAGAACGCCTAATTATCACTAAATATAACACAGAGTGACTAATTATCACCAGAAGTAACACAGAGTGACTAATTATCATCAAATATAACACAGAGAGGCTAATTATCACTAAATATAACACAGAGTGACTAATTATCCCGAGAAGTAACATAGAGTGACAAATTATCACCACAAGCAACACAAAGTGGCTAATTACACAAGCCTGCGAATTTAAACTTTATAAAAGTTGTTTTGGTTTTAATAACGGTTTTTCCCATAATTCAGCTATGCTGATTTCGAAAATCATATCTTTTTTTATCGCGTAAGTTTTTTTTTACAAATCGGGGAAAAAACTCTTACTTAGATCAAATTATTATTTCGTTTACCACAATGAATTTTTTTATTATGTTTGTTAACAAAAATACAAACAAACTGAAGAACATTGAAGTCAAACGAATATGCATCCTCATTCTTCTTGGGTTTTTTTTTTTTGTGAAATCTACGTCTTTTAGTCTCAAAACTACGTGATGTGGTCTTTCTTTTATATATTGCGTTATGACGTTTTGTGAAAAATCTGTACGTGATGGAGAAAATGGATATCATTTTCGGATTCAGGGTACAGGAATTACTGAAGAACGTAAAAATTTCAAGACTATAAAACCATTGCAGGCCTGTGTTATCACCAGAAGTAACACAGTGACTAATCATCACCAGAAGTAACAAAGAGTGACTAATTATCACCAGAAGTAACACAAGGTGACTAAACATAATTATGTTGAAATATACCAGTAATTGACTCAGCTAAACACGTAGTTTGCGCGCAGATTCTGTGATGACAGGGGGGAATGTTCCTTCACTTTTACGAGTTTTCGATAATTTAAAAAATTTCCCTGATTTATTTAATCCCTTTTTCACATTCCTTGACTTTCCAGGACTTACGGGTTGGTGGTCACCCTATTAAGCGTACCATTCTGCGTCGCATAGCTTGAAACAGAACCATTTAAACATAAATAAATTGTCAAAAACTTTTGTAGGCAAGATTTTAATTTTATTCTTTTGAAACATTGACAAAAAAAAATTAATTGATTATCTTATAAAGTAACTTGTGTTATTGTTATGTAAATAGCACTTCGTGTGGCTTGGAGATGAATATGGAAATAGGTGTTGATGGCTTCATGCATACAGTTAGCATACTTTTCCACTTAAGCTAAAATGGCCCAGCTTTAAATCTAATATTTCATAAACCAAACCTGAGAACGGATCATTCAGAGAGAGAGAGAGAGAGAGCTCTTTCATCACTGGATTTTACTTTCATGCAAAGCACAGTTAATAAGATGCAAAATACCATCTGGTGTTCATCAAACAATTTTAAGGCAGAATAATTTTCTACAAGACAATGAGTGGTGACAACAAATGAGGTTGTAATTCCCAATATATTACCAATGGTAATTTATGGTAGAGGTTTGCTTTATCATCATTCTTGTAGCCCTTAATTATAATTGTTTTATCTATAAATACTAGAACACAAGAGTCCAAATTTGTGTTTAATGACTGACAAGTACTTGTAAAATAAGAATGCAAGTTTTTGAAAAAATTTTTGTTACGTTAATTCATAAATTTGTGATATATCAAAATATATAATTTTAGCGTTACATCTACTGTTAATACGCTAATATCTCGATGTCATTATCAGTTTTGTAATGTAAATGTTTTTATCAATTAAAACTGCTAAGTTTCAATGAGCCATTTTCAGGTAATGTATCATTAACAACAATTACATCTTTATACAAACAGACTGTTCTCTACGTTAAATACCTTTCCTTTAACTGAGAGTTTTCTGCCCTCTTACAACAATATATCGAGTCGGTTCATTACATCTTCAGGTAGTGCATTATTCATAGGTTTATTTTTCTCACTTTTCCTAATTTCTCCATCTCGGTTTCAAAATCAGAGACGTCTAAAATTTCATTCCAGATCCACTTTTTGTCTCCCACAAGTTACTGCCCAAGAGGTCTATAGTTCATTTTCTACTGATGTCTAATGGCTTTTGGCATATAAACTGTAGCTTTTGAAGAATTATACCGCATATGTAAATAGCGTTTCAGAGAAGTTTTTGTTTTTAATCGTCCACCCCGACTGACGACTTGTGGCATTGAACAAAAAACCTCTTGGGCAGTGAATAGTGGAAAACAAAAGACAGATTTGAAATGCTATTTTACACCCTTCTGTTTTCGAATCCGAAACGGACAAATAAAAACAAGTGTGGTAAAAGCACCTACAGTTTATGATTGTTATCACTATAATTTTCTTTCTACCTAATGGAAATGTTTCGACAGTCTTACAGGTTTATGCAGAGTAGCTAGTTCGCATACATTTTCAGATATAAAATTGTTGGATAGCTTTATTAGGCACTCTCTTCAGCCAAATAAAGACATTAATAGATTGAAATAATGTGCTTATAACACACTAATAACTGTGTTAAATAAATAAATTTTAAATTTATTTATTACTGTGGTGGGCACAACATAGATAGCCCATTGTATAGCTTTGTCCTTCATTGCAAACAAACTGCCCATACAATTATTTTATTATGTAACACCCCATCTAATGTTAATTTAGTAGATAATAACCAGTCGCTTTGAGTTGTTAATATAAGTTTACATTTCAACACTAAGCCTACTTACTTTCCAG